GCCACTGTGGGTCTTAATGGGGCACACCAGGCTATTCTAGGCCACTCCAGGCCACGCTGGTCCACATTCATCTATACTGGGCCATATTGGGCCATCCAAGGTCACACTGGGCCACTGGGTGACCGCTTTGACAGCTCATCCCTTTTCAGGTTCCTTAACAGCTGTTGTTTTCAGCGTTTCTTGTTTTATCGGTTCCTTACTCACTGTAGACAGATTGTTTGGGACTTTGATAATCTAGTCATCTGTTCACAGGTCGGACATTAAAGTGACTCAGCATTTTAACTTGCAGCCTCTCTGAGGCAGCAAACGTGGCGGCGTAGCCCCTTCGTGACGAACGGTGGAGCCGCAGCGCGAGCGGCCTGACCTTCCCGCTCCGTCACACGCTCGCTGCACGAGCTCGCAAATGGCACTTAATCGTGTGAGAGAACCTGCGCCGGTAGCTGATAAGAAGCCAGCAGGCTAAGCAGACCAGCCCTCGCAGTAAAAGCTTTTTTTTAATTCATAGAATTTTCCGTGTCATGCCGTCGGTATTGGGGGGGGGGGGGGGGGGTTTATTACTTTATTTGTTTGTCTGCTGTTTTTCATCCAGAGTGACACCCAGAGCCGTCACAGATAACGTGCTCCAGGGCACAGGGGCGAGGAAATCAGTGTGAAAGTCTCACTCTGTTAAGAGGAACCAGAGCTTTTTATTCTTCCTCAGGGGATTGTGGGTAATCGCAGCGTGTCCAAGAGTCAGGGATTATACTGTCTGCCCAGTAACCTGGAAACACTCCATTCACACGGCCTGGCAGGACGGTTCACGCCAGGGACAGTCCCAGAGCTTCCTGGAGCCCCCCAGGCCTGTCCTCCCCGTGGGGGGGGTCGCTCATGGACCAGACTCCCCCCGCTCTGTCTGCCCTCTGACTTCGCCTGTGCTTCCGAGACGTGGCGCCGGCCAGCCAAGGTCAGGCACATCAGGGCCGTTAGGAAGTGCCAAATGCTGTTGTGTTTTCATCTGCGGTGCGGAACCTTCACTTGGCGCCCTTTCATGGGTGTCTGGACATGGAGGGGTGGGTGGATAAATGGGTTAGACACCCCCCCCCTCCCAGATCACTCTGGCAATAAACTGGACCGAAAGTGTTGTCTCTACATGGGATGAGCTGGTGGTTCGTGGTCATGGTCACAGTCCTGGGTGCGGTCATGGTCCTGGGCGCGGTTATCGTGGTGGTCACGCCCTCACGGCTGGTGGGGCTCTGCTTTAAAGCCCTTCACTTTTACTACACCTCATAAAGGGCCATAAATATCTGCGTCTCGCCGGGTCGACCTGCCCGGATCGCTTTCGCGTGTTTATCTGTGACGACAGCTCTCGTCCCTCATTGGCTGTCGCTGTGCCCTTTGACCCTGCCTGTGTATAGGCGTGCCCATGAATGTACCAACATGGCTCCGCATGACGGGTGTGAGCCTGGCTGATTCAGTGAGAGGGCTCATGCCCACAGCCCCCCCCCCGAGTCACTCCATGCACCGTTGGTGGTCTGCGGCTCGCCGGATCCCACCATCATCTCGGCAGGTGTTAGCGACCTCCCCAGTCCCCAGCTGCTCTTCTCAGAGCCCCCCCACGAGCCCCCATCCCGGGCTAGGAGGCCGTTTTCCCCCCTTATAAGCCACCAGGTGTGTGGATTAAAAGTCCTATATTATGTGGGCCCAGCTTCTCTCCACCCAGACGGCAGCTTCAGCGTTAAACTAAACAGCAGCACTGCAGCAGGACGTCCTGAGGCCCTCATCCGCGACCCATCGGGCCCCAGGTTCAGAACCGGCTCTCTGAGCATGAGACCCAGAGCAGGACAGCCCCCCCCAGTACCGAGGGAGACTTTTCTGTGCCTGAGCTGCCAGCAGGTGGGGGTGGGGGGGGTGTCACACTGTGGGATCGATCTGCAACCCCCCCAATACCCCCGAGGGTCAGTCTGACCCCCACTGTCCCCTTCCCTAAGGATAGCCCCCCCCCCCCCACTAGAGGGGGCAGCTGGTGACATGTGCCAACTTCCCTGCTCCTCTGGCCCTAGTAACCCCCCCCTGCCATGCCCCCCAACCATTCCTGCCCAGAACTGCCCCTGCCGGCTCACCCGGGGCCTGTCAGGGGGCAGAAGGAGAGGAGGGCCAGCTGGACAAAGGCATGCAGGGGGAGCTGACTAAGGGGGGGGCTAATCGTGTGTTAAACTGGCTTTTTTCTGCCCGGTGAAGCGTCTACCGAGGGGGGGTGTAATTACACGCCGTGAGCGGGGGGTGCAGGTATGTTTTAATCCGTCGCTCCCCGTTTTGGATGGGAGGCCCACCTGGGGCCCTCCCTTACGTCACTGCTCCCGCCCGAAGGAGCTCAGACAAAGGCACCGTCCAGGTGTGGGGGCCACCCGCTGCTTGCTGCCAAGGTATGTGAGCGACGCCCCTCTCCCATGATGCACTGCTGCAAGGCCCTGCGGACGAAGTGGCAGGAGAGGAAACTCGGCGTCAAGGCTAACTTGGGATTTGTGGCCCGTGAGACAGGAAATCATAAACCTGAGCGCCTTGGCACTCTGTGCAGGCCTGCAGTGCCCTTTGGATAGCGCCCCCTGTTTGTTTGGGGGTATAACAGCATGCGGCCCATTTGAAACCTCAGCCTGGAGGTCCTTCTGATCTTTATTTAATACATGATTTGGCACATTTGGGCTTGGGTCATGTGCACAGCTAGGCACGTACACGCTTACTATTACACATACACAGGCACAGAGATACACTCACACACACCCGTACACACAGCTTACACACACACATATACACACCATGATAACCTGTCACTGGATTATCATAGCCTGTCACTGTGATAACATGTTAACCTGTCACTGGGGTATCATAGCCTGTCACTGTGAGACCATGGTAACCTGTCACTGGGGTATCATAGCCTGTCACTGTGAGACCATGGTAACCTGTCACTGGGGTATCATAGCCTGTCACTGTGAGACCATGGTAACCTGTCACTGGGGTACCATAGCCTGTCACTGTGAG